GTTTTTGTCCTCTTCTTCATCTTAGTCTACATAATCCACTCTCCATCATAAAGAAGATGTAGTATAGACATACAATAGAATATTACTCAGCCATAAAAAATGAAATAATGCCATTTTCAGTAACATGGATCGACCTAGAGATTATCATACTAAGTGCACTAAGTCAGACAGAGAAAGATAAATATATGATATCACTTATATGTGGAATCTAAAAAAAAGATACAAATGAACTTATTTACAAAACAGAAATAGACTCACAGACATAGAAAACAAACTTACAGTTACCAAAGAGGGAAGTGGTAGGAAGGTCAAGGTAGAGATTGCACTGGGGTAGATGATGCTAGAGAGGGGGCAGAGGGAATAAATCAGGAGTTTAGGATTAGGAGATACAAACTACTGCATATAAAATAGATAAACAAGGTTCTACTGTACAGCACAGTGAACCACATTCAGTATCTTGTAATAATCTATAATGGAAAAGAATCTGAAAAAGAATATATATATGTATAACTGAATTACTATGCTTTACCCCAGAGACTAACACAACACTGTAAATCAACTATACTTCAATAAAAAAATAAATAAAAATTTTAAAATGAGGGCCTCATAAGACATATGAAGCTGTTTTATCACTCACTTAACAAGTATTCATTGAGTGCCTACAATGTGCCAGGCATTATCCTATGTGCTAGGAATACAACAGTAAATAGGGGGAGGAAATAGCTCAAGTGGTAGAGCATATGCTTAGAATGCACGAGGTCCAGGGTTCAATCCCCAGCACCTCCTCAATAAATAAATAAACCTAACTGCTCCCCCAAAAAGTTAAAAACAAAAAAACAAAACAATCCAGTAAATAAAACAGACAATATCCTTGCTAAATTTACATTCTAATTGGAAGAGACTATAAACAAATATGTTCCTAAACTAGGAAAAATATCATATATTGTAAGTGTCATGCAAAGAACTAAAGTAAGTGACATGATACAAAGTATGTATACTGGTAGCCACTTTAGAATCATTAGGTGGTCCAGGAAGGCCTTTCTGAGGAGATGACATTTAAAAATAGTATCTCAATAAAAAGGAACCAGCCATTCAAGATCAAGGGGAAAAAACATAGGTATGGGTAACAGTATACATGTGCAAAAGCCCAATGGAAACATTACTGAAGCTTTTTAAGCAGAGGAGTTAGATCAGGATCATTCTTACATTTTATAAAGATCACTCCGGCTACAGTGTGGAGAACAGAATGGAGGTGGGGGAGAGTAAAATCAAGACCAGAGGCAGATATGAGAGCGGATTACGTAGACCTAGATGAAGAAGAGGACAAAAACAATGATGATGGTAACAGCTATGCATACTATGCAACACTATGCATACTAGCTGCTGATCCACTGTTCTAAGTATTTTATGTGTATTAATTCATTCAATCTTCACAAATACTCTATTAATAGGAAACTAAGGTACAGGACAGTGACAATGAATAAGAAAAGAAAGCAACTGGATCCAAGAAGTACTGGAGATGGCAAGACCTATGATAGGCTGGTTGTCAGCTGTGGGAAGGGAAGGGAAGGGAAGGGAGAACTTAGAATGACTACCAGGCTCTGGGTTTAGCAACTGTGTGGGCGGTGGTGCTATTTACCACCTGACAGGACACTAGAGGAGGAGCCAAAGGGGAAGAGCAGGAGGCTGCATTCTGCTGAGTCTGCAAAGCATCCCAGTGGAGTTGTCCATCTGGAGAGAGATCTGGGCAGCATCCATGTGTAGATAGAACTGAAGCTGTCAGAGAGGTTGAGATCACCGAGGGAGAGCAGGAAGAAAAGTTAAAAAAAAAAAGTAAGGACCAGAATGCTGACATTTAAAACACAAAAAGAATCATTAATAACAATAAAACACTGGAAATACCTTAACGTCCCTCGATAGGAAAATAGATAAATAAAATACAGCATATCTACTCAATGAAATATTATACAGTAGCCAAAAAGAATGAGAAGTATCTTTATGTACCAACATGGAATTCTGTCAAGGCACATTACTGAATCAAAGAAAGAAATGTAAGAACGATACATAAAATGTGACCACATCTGTGCAACTAAATAAATCACAAAAATAACACTTTACAGGCGGGAGGGGGATGAATTGGGAGTTTGAGAATTGCAGATACTAACAAATATATATAAAGCAGATAAACAAGTTCATACTGTAAGCACAGGGAACTATACTCAGTATCTTGTGGTAACTTATGGTGATAAAGAATATGAAAACAAATATATGTATGTTCATGTGTGACTGAAGCATTCTGCTGTACATCAGAAATTTACACAACATTGTAAACTGACTATACTTCAGTAAAAGTATTTATTTACAAAAAAAACCACTTTATTTTTTTCTGGGTTCATACATAGGTTCATAAACACACACAAAGTCTAGGAGGTACATTCTAAGCCACTAAACAGGTGCCTCTGGGAATACAGAAATAACTGAAGAGGGAGGAGCAGGAGTATTCAAAATGTCTACAATGTTTTGACTTTTTTACATTATATTTCTCTGTAAAATTAAAGATCAATTTTGCAAAAAATAATGGGAATCTCTGTACCTTCTCCCCTGTTTTGCCATGAACCTAAAACTGTTCTAAAAAATAACTCATATTTTTTAAATGGGCAGAAGAGGGAGCCTACAAAGGACATCCTTTGTTTTAGATATTAAATTTTCTCTGTTCTTTCCACCCCTCATTGGCCTTGATGTTCAAATTGTCCGGCTTGCCATCTGCCCATGTCTGGGAAGTTCATATCAAGGCCCCTAATTCCATGCTCTATCCGGAATCCTTGGCCCCAGGCCAGGGGCAAAAGAGATCAGATCCCCTAGACAGGGCCAGAACTCCAGGAAGGGAGGGCAAATACCAAAGTCCTAAACAAATATGGGAGAATGAGTATAAATGCCAGCTTCAAGGTCAGTAATCAGGTGGCCGTGCTGGCCAGCAGAAACCTTAAAGAGGAAAAGGTATTTGAGGATCTGGAAGCAGCTCTGCAGAGCAGGGTGATGGGGCTGGGGGACATTCAGGCAAAAGCAGGGGTATGTGGCACGGAGCGAGTTAAAGGAAGAGCCAGTTCCACTCATAAAGATTCCAAGCGAAGTGCCACGATATGGTAGAAATCATGTTTACAGCAATGGGAAGAGGGGAAGCCGCATTCTGGGAAACAGCTGGGGCATGGGGCAGGGGGGTGTGCAGGGCTATCTAGAGGCATCACTCCATATCAAAGCAACAATTCTGGGAGGCACAGAATGAAAGTTTAGAAATTTCTGGAGCAGCAGAAAAAGGCCAGAGACTTGGCTCCTTCCTGAACAGAAAGAAGGATCTACAAATGAAGAGAAAAGACACTGAAATAAAGCCTTTCCTTCTCCAGTAAACCAGAGGAAGAGAGGGTAGATCCCTGGCGAATGCACTCTTCACTGTCAGCTGAAAGAGTGTATTTTGTTTACACGTTTTCCTCATTACTCAAAGAGCTGACACTGCCTGCATCTTACCCAATGGCTGATTCACCATCAATTAGTCTACATCACAGCCTGCTGTGCCTCACGTCTCACACAGTCTCATGCCGGACGGCTCTGGAAAGAAAACAACCTGGCGTGAGCTGTCAAAGTCCTTTCAGTACCTGACCTCACCCTCTAGGGTAGGTTTCATTTCAAAACTGAAAGGGACTGAAGGGCTGGGGAAATCCAAAGATCAACAGAGCTAAAACAGGTGGTTCCCGGCAAAGAAGGGTCCCAGCCTGGAACTCAAAACAGAAACCAGACCACTGATAAGACAGTTTATGATGTCTGTCTCCAGGCCTTCAGATGCCATTTATATGTTTTCCAATATTTGCAACAGGGCATGACCATGCTTATCTACCTCTGACAACTAAATATCTTAACACTCCAAATACTCAATCAACTTCCTAGCTTTATTAAGTTTTAGAGCTTGGGATATCTCCAAAAACTGGGATACGAGGGGGACTTCTGAATTTTGCAGTCCTTCATAAGGGCCACAATTTAATCACAATGATTTCTATCACCTCCTCTTCCTTCTTCATCTCCTCATGAACCCTTGTCAAAATTTCTCTCTCACTAAAAAACTTCCCAATAGTTCTTGATGGCTCTTTCACAAGAGCAATATTCAATACAAAGAAAAGTGTAGCTCATCAAGGGAATCCGGTTATTTGCTTGAGGTTCATTTTAACTACCTGAGTGACCATTACACAAGCCACTTAACCTTTCTGGGCTCAGTTTCCTCATCTGTGAAGTAAGGAGGTTGGAAATAGACAGAAGGAAAGCAGTAAAACTACCTCGAACCAAGAAAAGACTTAAATTTTTAAGTCTAAAAGGTTCATCAAGTAGTAAGCAGAGTTCTTTTTTAAAAAATCATACCTAAGCATATCATGATGAAATACTAAGCATGAAAAAAAAATCTACAAACTTTCAGAGAGAAAAGGTTATTACTTACAAAGGAAAAAGAATCCTACTGGCATTGGACTTTTCATCTGTATCACTAGAAACTAAAGACAGTAGAAAGCTGCATATTTTGTAGAGACTAAGACTACTATTCAAGAACCCTAAACCCAACCAAGACATCATTCATTCATGAAGACAGATATATAGATATACATACATACACATATACAGATAAATGGACCTTGAAATAACCATCCATGCCCCGTTTCTAAGAAAATCACTCAAAGTATCCTAGTCAACTTAATATTTAAAATTGGAGCAAAGCTGAGAAAGACAAAGTATACACAAGACATGTTTCCCCTTTCCCCAAAATAAACCTTTTAATGAAGTTGTACCAGATGACTTGTGATGGCATTTCCAGGACAAACAGAAACTGTCCTAAACGCAACCCTCCCTGGCAGTCTAAGTTTGCAAGTTGTTCATCACCTAGTGGCCTGAAGAAGTAAATGCAGTTTCGTCAAGTGCCCAAATGAACTTCCAGCCATTTTGTGATCTGACAGTGTATACAGGGCAGCAGCCTGACGTCCTTGAGATTATAAGAGTAGGGGACTGCAAACCCTTCAGACTCACAGAAAATTGTGTAGATTCAGCTCACTATCCATTCATTCTCCAAGGATGGGGGAAGGGCCTACACTTTGTGTTAACTAATCACAAGAAGTGAAGCACAGATTTGTTGCAAGGCTGCACTTGCAAACAGTGAGAGATAGAGACTGCTTTTGTGCAGACCAGTCTGAATTGAAAGCAAGTTAGATGCTATGATAAAACTGCAAACATGCTTTATAAATAGGAAAAGTGTCTCCAAAAGCTCACAAGATTGGCATGTGGAAGATGGATTATATTTACCTTGTATAGTTTCAGGGGACAGGACTATAACAGATGAGAAGTCATCTCAACTAGATTTCAATTCAAAACAAGAAACAATTTTCTACCAATGAGAGCTATTCAACAATATAATGGTATTCCTCAAGAAGTGATGAGCTTACCAGCAATGGAAGTATTCAAAAAGAATTTAAATGATCATCAGTCAGGAGACTAGGGAGAGCATTCCTGTAACTGAATGGCAGACTGCAGACAAGGAGATTAATTGTGCTATCTCAAAGGCCCTTTCCAACTCCAAGAGTCTATCATTCTAAATAAAACAAAAACAAAACAAAACAAACAAAACAAAAACCACTAATAAATAACAAAAAGGTCCGCCCTCTGAATTTTTTTTCCAAGCTCCAACCAGGCAGTAGCACAACTCAGTGCGTCTGATACCACTTTCCGCCTGAGTAAATGAGGACAAGTTAAATCTGTTTGCCTCACTCTCATTATCTTTAAATTTAGAACAATAGTAGTACCCATCTCATAAGATTACTATGACAATTAAATAATATGATACTTTGTAAAGTACTTAAAACAGTGCCTAACATAGAAAGTGTATAAAACTTGCAGGTAGCTGTGGGGAACGGGGGTGGGGGTGGAAAGTGAAACCTAAATGTGCTGCTTGTTTTAGTTATCTGTTCCCAACCCTCAACCAAAGCATTCCTGGCTGTTGCTGGCCAGAGGCTAGGTTCCCCTGGCAACCAGTTTCAAAAAAGAGCCCAGATCTACCTTCTTCTAGAAGGCAGCTCATTCTCTGCCCTGAAATCTAGCATCTTTGCACAAACCAGGCTCCCTAAAACTTCACAAATACCAATGCTCCAAATCAAGAAACTGACCAGGTGTTACCCTCCTCACTTCTTACCACAGAACATCAGAGTTAGAAGGACCATCCAGAGTGAACCTTTTGTTTAATTGAGGACAGAAGGCTAAGAAAAGTGAAATCCGGACGTGGCAAGTTGGTGACAAGGTCAAGACAAGATCGCAGGCCTCCTTATTCTTAGCCCAATAGTTAAAATTGTCCCATTGTTCAGCAGGACTGGTCCTACTAAGTTCCGTAGTACTGACCCATACTGCGTGCTTTACACAGGTAAATGAGGGTTAGAAGCAGTGGAGTGTGTGGTTAAGAGCATGGACTCTGGAGGCTGTCAGCTGCAGTTCTCCATTCTTATTCAACATGTCTGGACGCAGCAAGG